ATCAAGGAGATTTTGATAAGTAGTAATCTTTGAACTTTGTCATTAATTGGCTGTTGTATCTTAATGTATATTTGTTCATCTATTCTTTGATGTCAAAATTTTATGTGCATCTTCATTACAAACATGTAATCTTGCTTGAAACATGAATATGCTGTACTACTGATGAATATAAGTTCTTAACTTTTTGTTTATTAATTAAACTAAAAACAAATAATTTAATCATTTGAAAGCGCGTGACCATTCATTAGCTAAAATATTTTTATAAACCAAAAGGCTTCTTTCCCTGAAATTGACAACTATATGTAATCTAAAGCTATCTTTGATAAATTTGGAAACAAATCTAGATTTAAATCATCCTCAAAACTTCTAGGGGTGAATGAATGCCCATTCATGTGATTTGGATTTGTGAGTTCAAGAATATTTATATAATAAGTGTATACCATTAGTGCTGATCCATTTATTTTAACATATTATATACAATAAGTAAAACAATAATTTAGGCAATGGCAAATTTTCCCTTAAAGTTGTTTTTGATATTTAAAAAAGTCATTATTAGGAATGATTGTGCAAATATCAAAATTTAGATATCCATTACTTCCTGTTGTTGATGCTATCAACATTATTATTATTAAATTGTTATTAACTTATGATGATTCTTTAAAAATAATTTTGATAATTTATATCATTTGTTTAAATTAAAATATAAAAAATACGAAAAATGATCATTGATATTGAAGAATATGATCCCGTCTGCCAAACAATCAATGGATCGTTCAACATGGACAGTCAATATATAACAACATTTTGCAACTGCTAGAAGGAATAAAGATTCACGTTGTTTATTCCATTTTAATGAAATTTATAATATTTGATTCATTGTTCATACAAATTTTCAGAATGCATTCCAAGTTTCACCTTCTCTCCAAGCACAAATTCCTAAGGGTCGGAAAATGCCAAATAGCTCCTCCTGGATCGATCTTATTATTATTATTATTATTAGAGAGCAAAGCAATCGATGGCAATAAAGAATTCATCGAAAAATGGAATTACACAAAAGTTCTGGAACACTTGTTTTTGTTAATGAAAAAAACAAATTTTGACATGACGTTTTTATCGATTGCTTCAAAAATCTACATAGTAATATGTTTTGGAAAGTCCAGTTTTTAAATATATTTTTATTGCGTGCATTTTTTTAAAAAAAGGATTTTAAAAATTTTCAAATTTTCAAACCTTCGCTTACTGAAGCTGAACGCGGACAAAAATCGGTCTTTATAAAGACGGAGCCGCCTCGTATAGATGCATTTTTAAGCAATTGACTTCCCTGTCGTAGCAGTATTTCGAACAATAAAGAATTTTCAAGAATGAAATGGAAAATTTCAAAAAAACATCAAAAAATATTATTAAAGACCGCTTTAACCAGAAAACTGGTTTAGAAAGAATTAATACTTTTCGAGTTTTGTAAAAATGAAGAAACTAAGATACAAAATGATGTAAATTTATTTAAATTGTTTATATTATTGCGCAACTAACAGAAACGAGCGTTCCGAACTTTTGTGGATTTGATTTCAAGTTATTAATATCCAGAATTGAAAATTCAGAGTCTTTTATACATGTTGATTAATTGGTGAATGACTTTATCGTTCCAAAAACGATTCTATCAAGTAAAACGGTTTAATCAGTAGAAAGGTGATTATAAAAAAATGCTTAATGGTTTCCGCCTTTAGGAAATATTGCGCTCTTGCTTAAAGACCTTATAAATCCTAGTCAAAATGTTTTAAAATTGTAAGTGATTTAACTAACTTGTTGAATGAATCAGATCTATGCGATGTTGAAATTAGATATGGAATACCAGCTTATCCAAAAATGTGATTGAAGTATTTTAATGTAAATAATTTGTTTTGATGAATATTTAAATTAATTAATATTAATTGATGGCTTACAAGTCTGTTTGATCGTTAATGAAAAAGAATGTATTCAACAAAACTTTGAGGTTATTTAAAAAATTGATGATATTTCAGCTATTGAAAAATCATATATTGAAAGGAGACGATGGTTTGAGATTAAATGAAATTGATAATTGGAAACACGTTGCTGGGAATATACAAACATCGTCCAAGGAAATTCTTATTATTTTCAATCAATATTAAGATGCAATTTATCATAGCAATCTAAATAATAATTTACTTTAGGAAATATAAAAATTTCATAAAGTTAAATTCTAATCCAATAATGGTTATAAACTTTGAAATTAATTTACTAGAAGCATTAAAAAATGAAATTTTTTGTTGTCTGGGTACCTGGAAGATCCATCTTTATTATTTCTTTGGTTCGCCATCACTAAATATTGAAAAATTTCAATTGGTGTTGAAATTCTTGAATTTAGGCCCTACAAAAAGTTTAGGTGCTTAAAATGTATTTAAAACATGCTTAAAAAATCTACTTTAAGGTGCTTAAAACATACCTTATTAATAATGAACAAAATTAAGTATGTTTTAAGTAACCTTTTAAGTGTATTTCAAGTATGCTAGTTTACCATCAAAAGTATATTTTAAGTATATAGTATATTTTAAGTGTGTTTTGAGTATAATTTCATATACTTAAAACTCACTTAAAATGTTCTTGTTCTCTTCCATCGGTATATTTTAAGTATATTTTAAGTGCATTTTAAGTATCTAAACTTTGTGTAGGGAGGCAAGAAGAAGCCTTTTATATAAAACGATTTTGGTAATTCTACCATTGTTATTACTACTTTTTTAAAATAACTGTAAAAAATAGAGCTTTAAAACATACTAATTAGTATACAATATTCAATTTATTGTATTAATATGATTGGTTTCTTTTTTTTTTACAAAATAATAAATAGGTCGTTTCGCATATACTTACGTTAAAGTTTGCATTTTAGATTCACTTCAGAATCAAGACAGAGTAAACATTCTAACGCAAGTAGCATTATTAGTCTAACTTTTAAATTTCTCGTCTTTTCTTAAAGTTATTTGTAAGAAGCAAGTTGATTTTAAACACCCACAACTTTGCCCGGAGGAGGAGATCACTATCGAAGTATCTAGGATAACAATTACTCCTTCCACTGCGTCACTTAAAGGTGACTAGAGCTGTAGAAATGGGGGGTTTAAGCTAAAGTTTTCGGTATATTTGTATATGTGATAAATAATGAAAGTTTCACAATATCTATGTTACCATCTTAAATTTGCCAGTTATACGTGTGTGATGAATATGTGGTAATTCGAATTAATCAATTGAATTATAATGAATTAATTAACGTTACATGAAAGCTCTTCGATAACATTATTCTAGGTGAAAATAGTATTACAAGCAGATTAGATTATTCGAAACATAAAGGCAAAAGTTGTTTTTTTGTCATATGATTTAGCTCAGGATAATATATTAAAAACGGAATTGGATTTTCTCTAATCAATTAGTATTATAAAAACTTATTACTAATAGTAATAGTAATTCAAACCACATTGATCTTACCGTCCGCGCAATTTAAGTCTAGATTCTTCTCTACCATCTCTACTATGCATACATACATATATCAACTACAATACATCAATGTAACCTGATTTACATCTATCGTCATACTCGTGTAACTTCTATTTTGATTTCATGTTTTTATTTTATCAATGAATTCGAATGGTTTTACGTTATCATCTTCTAAATCCTGTGTGTAATCACGGCGGATCATTTAAATCAATACGGTCAATGTTTAATTCTTCAACATGCTTAACTTTAAGTCCTTTCATCTCTATAACTCCAAAATTAAGAATTTGTCAAATAACAACAAAAAGAAATAAAGAAGAGGAGCAGGGGAAGGAAGAAGAGGAAGATAATGAAGACGACATTTTCAAAACTCACGATATACCAGGAAAATATCTTCAGTTGTTAAAAAAGAATAGAAGACAGCTTAAGAAAGAAGCTCGTCAAAAAAATCGTTTTGGAAATGAGGTTTCAAAAAAAAAAAAGAACTCTGATTGTGTAATATAATATTTTTTTTTATTAATTTTATTGATCACATTATCAATTTCTTTAAAGAAACTTGTAAGGATTCCTTCACGTCAAAACTTGGAAAATCCTTCAAACTTATTAATAATTGATGAACAAACAAAAAGTCTTACCGATGATGATAAAAATAATCATAAAGATGTTTCTATTTATACCAAAAAAAAGAATGATTTGTCACAAAGGATAACAAGTGCAATCAGGAAAAGTAACGAAGAAGTGCCACATATGTACATGAGCAACTCTTTTGTTAAAATTGATGATGTAAATAATTACAAATAATTTTCTGCTTTTCCTCCAAGCTTACTTTGTGTCTGACTGATTAATTGGTTGATTTAGATTATTGTATCTGATAATTTAAAGACTGCAAAAATTTGGTGGAGACCTTTAATACAAGATGACGTTAGTGGGGTAAAGTAAGATTCTATACATCCTTTATTTTAATATATATAATCATTTATTGACTTTTTGTTCCAAATATATTTTTACAGCCAGAGATAGAAAGGTGTTTTCAATCTTATAGAAATAAATATAGTTCTATTTTAAAAAGATACATGAGATTAAAAAAAGCTCCAAAATTAATATTTATGAGAAATGATTTAGCAAATGATGGAATTCTAAATGTTTTAGAAAATTTGGAAATTGAAATGAAATTGAAGCAACAGCAACAGCAGCAAGAAAAAAATGACGACAAAAACTTAATCGGAACAAATTAACATAACATTACTAATTATTTATTAACATCATAAATTTTATTCAGAAAGAAGACACTGATGAAATATCGTGGGATTTCAATATTTTACTATATTTAATGGATCAAGTTCCAGATCAATGGTCTAGAACCACTGATTGAGCAAAGGATGTTGATGCCTTTGACAAATGTTTAGTCTACGGGATCTGATTTTCACAAAAAAATTTTTTTATTTTGAATAAAATATTTTATTTTTTTATATATATATCAATTAATAAACGACATTTATAATACGTGGTACAACGATCGCATATAAATACGGGTATACCCAATAAACAGTATTAGTATTAATCCCTATCCCTTTTTCAAAAAAAAAATTTTTTTCATTTAATATTAATATTAATAATTCAAAATGTATAGTCGTAGAGATCTTAAAGAGTAAGTACTTTTTTTTCGCATTAATTATATTCTTTAAAGATTAAAATTGATTATTTATTAATTTACCTTTTATTAATTTAAAATTCTTTAAAATTCTTTAAAATTAGGTTTGAAAATCAGAGTACTTCTGCATACAGAGATCGTAGTCCAATAAGTGACAATAGATACACCGCAGCTGCCACAACTACAACTAACAACCACTATTTATCTACAACTACACCTAACACTAGTTATTATTCAATGTCAACTACCATGTACTCTAGTAGTAGTAGTCGTACGTCAACTCTTGGAGCCGGTTTGGTTAAACAAGAATGGGATATTACAAAATTACCAAAATTTGAAAAAAATTTTTATCGTGAACATTCTAATATTTCATTAAGATCAGAGACGGAAGTTGATGAATATCGTAGAAAGCATGAAATGAAAGTTTTTGGTAAAAATATTCCAAAACCCGTAGAAACTTTTGACGAAGCAAATTTTCCTGGTAGTTATAATCATATATATTACATTGATTACTATTTAATGTACTACTATATTATATTAATTAATATGATTAATATATAATTACATTTTATTTTAGCATATGTTTTAAAAGAAGTGTTAAACCTTGGTTTTAAAGCACCAACTCCTATTCAATCTCAAGGATGGCCAATGGCTCTTACTGGTCGTGATGTAGTCGGTATTGCTGAAACTGGATCTGGTAAGACTTTGGCCTATTGTTTACCAGCAATTGTTCATATCAATGCTCAACCCTTCCTTGAACCTGGTGATGGACCAATAGTATTAATTTTGGCTCCTACACGTGAATTGGCAATTCAGATCCAACAAGAGTGTACAAAATTTGGAAGATCGTCAAGAATTAAGAATACATGCGTTTATGGTGGTGTTCCGAAAGGTCCTCAAGCACGTGAATTGTCTGCTGGTGTGGAAGTTTGTATAGCAACTCCTGGTCGTCTAATAGACATGTTAGAAACTAGAAAAACTAATCTTCGTCGAGTTACATACCTTGTACTTGATGAAGCTGATCGTATGTTAGATATGGGATTTGAGCCTCAAATTCGTAAAATAGTTGATCAAATTAGACCTGATAGACAAACTCTTATGTGGAGTGCTACATGGCCTAAAGAGGTCAAACGACTTGCAGACGATTATTTAAATGATTTTATTCAGGTTAATATAGGTTCAATGGATTTATCTGCAAGTCACAACATCACACAAACTGTTGAAGTCTGTTCTGAATATGAGAAATGTGCAAAGTAAAATTTATTTTTATAGTTATATTTTTTGTTAAACCTCATGTTAAACTGCTTTATTCATTAATATATTCATTTTGCAGATTGGTAAAGCATCTTGAATTTATTATAGATCAAAAGGATAATAAAACATTAATTTTTACTGGTACTAAACGTACGGCAGATGAGATCACTAAATATTTACGTCAAGATGGTTGGCCAGCTCTTGCAATTCATGGAGACAAGGCACAGACCGAACGTGATTGGGTGTTGAGTGAATTTCGTACTGGAAGATCTCCTATAATGGTTGCTACAGATGTTGCATCTAGGGGAATTGGTATAGTGGTTTTAAAATTTTTTTAATGGTTTTTTTTGTGATCATAACGTTATTTCGTCACCCTTTCTTGTGTGTATATGTAGTTCCCTTTAAAAATGCCAGAAGTATCCATGGGCAACGAGTAAATAGGCGAGGTTTTATCGGGCCAGCTCATTTTAATAAAGAGATTCATGGATGTCATCTTTTTTTTTTTTGGTCTCAAAAAGAAACATTATGATGTTGTATTTTCTTCTTTTTAATTAATGATACTTTGTTTGCTCGCAGTTGCTCATATAAGCTGGCATTTATTTGGGGCTTGCATAATTGTTGTTTTGTTTATTTCATTTTATTATATCTGCGTGTCTGTCTGTCTGGTAGTCTGTTTGATGGTGCATGTTTATTTCGCGTTGTTGAAATAGCGCAATGTATGCTAGATTTTTGCATGCATCACTATCATTTTGACACTGGACTAGATAAGTACTTTTGGATACTATTGTAATCAGACGCTGTGATTTACTTTTGAGTTGCTTACAAATTTTTTTGGACTTCAGATGTTAAAGATATTAAACTCGTCATCAATTATGATTTTCCTACAAATGTTGAGGTGATAATACTTTAATCATAATGATTATAATAATTGTTATTTTATATATATTCAGATAGATATCTAGAATATATTATTTATATGTTAATTTATAATCATTATTTTTTTCATACTTGTTTTAATAGGATTATGTTCACCGAATTGGTAGAACAGGACGTGGTGGTGCAAAAGGTTTAGCTATTACATTTTTCACAATGGATAATGCCAGACAGGCCAAAGATTTGGTAAATATACTAAGAGAAGCCAATCAAGAAGTAAATACCAAGTTATTAGATTTAATTAAAATTGTACCAGCAACTAATAACAGTAAGTCAATTAACATATTAATTCATAGATGTTTATTTATTTAATTATTGTTAATAAATTTAATAATTATATTAATAGAGCATTCAAGATATGGTAATATTGTTGGGCGTGCATATGGGGCAAATAATCCTAATATTAATCATACGCGTTGGTAAAATTCTTTAATATAAAAAAAACAGTATTAAAAACTTTTTATAGAATAATATTATTGTAAAGATGGAAATCTTTTTTGATTACATATTTGTAGAGCCTTTATTTTAAAAAATTTTATACATACACCTATTAGAGTATCCAAATTATATTAATGCACAATCAAAATTCGAATAAACCATTATTTATTATTACTGTTGTCGGCTTTATTGAGATAACAACATTTGTACCAGCATATGATTTACCAGTTGTAAAGAGATATATTCTTCAATAAGGGTAAAATTCTTTTACCTTCCAAACTTAAAATGATATAGAACTATCCCTATATAAAAGAGTTAATATGAAACTCATTTACATCAGATCTACTATGGAACCCAAGAATTATAGTACTATCAGAAGTATTTTGAAGAAAAGAACAAGGTGAAAAAATCGCTTCTTAAATTTTCAAAATAAATGACACTCATACACTCGAAACTTATCTAAGAAAAGAAAGAATTGCCTATGAAATTTACCAAGAAGAAAGAAAAATAATAAATGTTAGAAAAAGAAGATGTGCTATTATCCAACAAAAAAACAGAAATCCTTTGAAAGAAAAATAATCTTATCATCTATTTTTTCTTTTCACTACAAAGAAAATTCTCTTTTATGCAAATGTCATACTGACATTTTTTGTTTGTACGGAGAGTGTTGTTATAACGGGAGTGACTTGTACAGTGATTAATTTTGTAATTACGTTTTTAAAGAGGAAATGGTATTACGTACTTATGGTAATTAGGCAATCACCATCCATGTATAGTGTTAACAACGGTTTGCATAGAAACTTTTCACAGTAGTAATTAATTCGTCGCCCGTAATTAATTCCGTAATTATGTTTTTAAAGAGTGAATGTGGTAATTAATTACGTTAATTACGAATTACGTATTTACGGTAATTAGCTAATTACCATCTCATGTATAGTCAGAAGAAAATTCCTGACGAATCACAACTATAACATTATCAAAAGTCAAGTAAATAGTAATAATGGTAACAATAATTCAATTCAAAATTATTCACTTCCTCCTTCACTTTCTCCTTATTCATCATCAAATTGTCTAATTTAAAATTCTTCTTTTTCTCCTATTGATGATAATTTTAAAACCTCAAATATTGAGATATCAATAACAAGATCAAGAACACCATGACAACAGTAATGACAATGATAAATAGGATTATCAAAATTTCTAAATTATAAAAATCACTGTAAAATGTGTGTTCTGGGGACAAATAAAGATTTAATGTATACTGCAATTATCATGGATTAGAATTTTACTTGATATAGAAGCTAATCATTATTATGAAATTAATATGTTAGTTCGTTCATCTATGTCGTAAAGAGGATCATAGGTGGTGTAACTGACAAACAGCAATGGCATTTTTGGAAATTGAATAAGGGGAAAAAATACAAGGATAAATCGTGTTACCTTCCGTCAATGCCTTTCTGTTGTCTCACTCATCTCTTTCGTTCTGCTTCACTTTCTCATTTTAAAGGTTTATTTAAAAAGTTTAATGTCAAAATTTTATTTTATTGAATATTGATTAACATTCGTTTTGCAATCTTTATAGATCTTGATTAACACTCATTTCGATCAAACTCGCCTATATAATTATTTGAATAATTGATAATAATAAAACGTTGATAAATATATTTTACAAACAACTTCGTAGATCCCGACCACTTTAATACTTATTTCGATCAAACCCGCCTATAATAATAAACGTTCATTTTGGAAACTTGATTTGCAAATAGATCTTGACTTTAACACTTACTTCTACCAAGCCCGCCTATATAATTATTTGAATAATTGATAAAGCACTCATTAAATATATTTACAAACAGATTCATAGATCTTGACTTTTAACTTATTTCAATACAAGCTATTCAATAATTGATAAACATTCATAAGTATATATTACAAACTTGCTTTGGAAGCTTCGTATGTCATCATACATCTTGTATTTAACAGTCTTCCTTTTTTTTAGATTACACAATAAAAATTATGGAATAAATTTAATCCAATGAAATGGTTGGTATCCCATATTTTGTACAACTTGAAAAAAAGTTGATATAAGTCATAGAATTGGTATAATAGTAACGACCAGGGAAAAGTCATGCAATGATGAAGTACCAGATAGGGTCCCCTGTGTCCGGCTCCCTTAGATGTAATGCCTCACTTTGGACCAGCTGTAAAGTCTCATGTGGCAGAAGGTGGAACTCACATGGGTGGCTCATGCTGGGTGTATTGACCCTTCTATTTTGTTAATTTTTATTATTTATTTTATTTAGTTAAAAGGAAGCATTTAAAAAATTAAAAAAAGTTAAATTTTGCTAAATTGATTTGATTGGTTACATTTATAATATATGAAGATCCACCAATCAAATAATATTATAATTAGTGGCAACAATGACAACAAATCATCATTTATTGAGGATGATAAGATCCAGTTTGTATAGGAGTGATCAAAATAAGCATTAAGGGCAAGCATTCAAAATATTCTAACAAATGTTTTATCAATTATTCAATAGTTTGTACAACATTAAGGACAATATGAACAAAATACTTTAATGAACATTTTACCAATTATTCAATAGTTTGTACAAGCATTAAGGACAAGATTTATGAAGCTTACAAAATATTCTAACAAATGTTTATCAATTATTAATAGTTTGTGTAGGAATAATTGAAGTAAGCTTAAAGGGCAATATCTATGAAAAAAATATACTAACAAAGGTTTTATCAATCATTCAATTGTTTATATAAATTTATCATTTATTTTAACTTATATTTAATAACATCACTATAATCATTATTGTTGCTGTTTATTGTTCTAATCATTTACATATGTATATAGGAATAAATGTAAAAAAAAATTTATATATTTAGCACTTGATGATCTTCAAAAATCATGTGACTGTAAAATTTTTATTGCATTTTTGATTGGAAATTTTTTCTCAAAATTGGCAGTGTGGAACAGAAAGTTGTGGGACTAAGTGACTTGCACCATATCTCAAATTTGGTGGTGGTTGCTAAACAGCAAGGGCATCAAACAAGGGTGTGAAGACATTCAATTACTATGTAAATTCGAATTTACTATGATGCAGATCATCCAAATTTTACTATGTTTTACAACCTCCTATAGATTGGCAGGAAATGTCCTGTGACTGTTAGCAAGTTAATGTCAAATTCAAATTCCATTTAACACATATAATAAGTGGATCATGGCATGTATGTACATATTATTCATGATATTCTCTTTTCTTTTCCCTTTTTTTAAATACTTGCCAATCATAATTGCTCTTAATTCCACCCAATTAAATTCATTCAAAAATGAAAATGGATATATTTGTAAAACTAAAGCTAATATACTTTACATATATATATGAAAAATTTGTAGTTTTTTATGCAAACAATTTCCTTATTTGTATTTCTTGGGTCAAGATCAATAAGGCTTTTTGTAATAAACTGAACACAGACATGACTTTTCATTATAAAATCTGAACACAGACTTTTCATCTATTCTTAATTTAATGTTAATAACTAAGATTGACAAGGTTTTTCATAATGAAACTAGAGTGATGGCTAGTGGCAATAACCACCATTCTTATGGTAAACACTTGCCCAGTTATTTCTTTTTCACCCTTTTCTTTATTTCTTTTTTCTTCTGACTTTTTGTCCTTTGGCATTTTTTACTTTTTATTTTTTTAAAAAAATAGTTGATTATCTATTACTAATAGAAAATCAGTTGATGTGGCATATCATGAACAATGATGCAATATTTAATAAAAAAGACTATTTTATGGCCAGATGGTACATTGATTGAGTAGTTTAATAAATTACAACAAAAACAGACCTGCTACCATCACTTGTGGATCAAAAAAACAGTGCATTCGAATTCAAGGGTCAAAATACACAGTGCACACATTACTCGAGGTATCTATATATCTGTTTGGAGTATCAATATTAACCAGCCATACTATTATTATATCAATATTTTTTATTTTTGAATTTAATAAATTTAATAAAAGAACCTTTGCAAAGAAGAAACCTCATGCAAATCAAAAGTTATCTACGAATTTCGATTGTTAAAAAAATCAACTAAGCTTTTTTTTCCTAATTAAAAAAAAAGACCTTTTTGTCCCTCGTGTTTATTTATTTATCCCAGATTAAAGGTCAATTGGATCAATTAGATTTTTTTTTCAAGTCTATCACTATAGAAGAATAAGCTTCATACAAACACAAAAGTTATTTCAAATTTCAATTGTTAAAAAAAAATCAACTAGCTTTTTTTTTTAATTAATCATCTCATTAATCAATGAATTTTATGTTTTCTCCAAAAGGAAAATAGATCATCCACCATCTCTCCAGGGCTGGCTGCGTAACTCAAATGAGCACTTGGCTAAATTGGCTAAACTATTTAGTCATATGTTAAGCCAAGTTTAGTCAAGACAATTATTGCTAATTAGGCTTTCAACCCCTTTACACTGCTAGCCCTGCATCTCTCAAATGGTCAAAATCAAAAAAAAGATTTGTTTGTTTTCTCCGAAAGGAAATTAAAATTTTTCTTATCCCAGATCACCACCCATTATCTCTCAAATGGTCAAAACCAAAAATTTTTTTTTGGTTAAACACGAACAATGAAAAAATTTGCACATATTGTTTGTTTATCGATCAATAAATTGACAAAGTTTTTGAATCTCGGTCTCGTGACCAGAAAATATCACTAACACGTTGTGTGACAAGTCTTTGACGATCTGAGGTAAAAGGTTCCAAGACAAGACCATCAGTTTCTGGTCATTTTGAACGATCCGAAACGTCAGAGAAAGACGAAAACCTAACGGTAGACATTGCGCAAAAAACATCTAAAGTGAAACACGGTTTTCCTTTCAGTCAAGTATCTGTTTTGCTCAATCCTGACGTTTTGAAACCAAACAGATAAATTTTTCAGTTGCACAAAGCATGACAAACAGATAGCAATTGGGATTCGCACGATACGGAGAGTAAAAAAACGAAAATATTTCTGTTCAAATTTCAAATCAATTTGCAAATCATTTCAAGCCAGCGCAGCAAAGAAAAAAAGACTCATCCTTCCCAATAATTCAGTTTACTAAAGTTGAGAAACAAAATGTTTAGAACATTCATGATTCGTTATCGTAACTGTAAATGAGTCTTCTTTACAATGAATTATTTCCCGTGCAATCAAACATTTAAAAATTGGGTAAAGTTGTTAGGTTAAGGAAACATATTAAAAAAAGGTAAAATCTAAATACATATGTAAACTCGATAAGTCGGTCATGTGGGGGTGAGCTCATATGGTCGACTTATCGAGTAAACCGACTTATCGAGTGATTGACTTATCGAGTTTACAAAATATAAAAATCCACACAAAAATTACGACATTTAGTAAGGCATCGTAACACGATAACCTTCTTTTTTTTTATATAGTTACATAATCTTGTTATATAATTAGAATAAACAAACAAACAAATAATGGTATAGGAGTTTTATATTGTATTGAACTTTAAATGCTCTACTAAATAAATAACGAGAGATTTTTAACAAATAACTAGAAATCTTTGTGAAATAGCGAGTAGCTTTACTGAATGTTGTGCGAGTTAAACCATGCGTCGAATATACAATAAGAAACTTTGAATTTTTGTATGAAATAAAAAGGTTAGAATTTACTTTGAGAATGCACAGCATCACGTGAATCCCATCAACTCTGTCTGAATAATGAGTGACACAAAGAAGGTCTAGATCAATCTATTTGATGGAAAATTTGGAATTGTTAACAGATTAGTATCACAAAATAATAAAGGCAATGAATGATATCTAGATTTTTTTCTTATCTGTAATTTAGATTATATTCCTCTCTTTTGTATAAATAGTTAAAGATTTTTGATATGTAAGATCGTGTATAATTATTATAATTATTAAAATAACAACAATGTCAAATCAAAATAGAAATATCATTATCGAAGATGATGCAAGCCGCACCAGAGTAGTTGCCATGGCAGTTAGAGAGGCATGTGAAATTGCATATCTAAAAAAGACACAACAAGATTGGGAGGCTGCTTGCCAAGCAATTTTAGAAAATGAATTATTGACAAGAACAGAAAAATCAACAATCATTTCATTGTTAAAAAGCAAATCCTCTTCTTAAAAGATATAATAAATGGTATGTGTTAAATGATTAATTAATCGATTGAATATTAATTGAATTCTACATTGTTTTATATTTTGATTGATTGTCTGATATGAAAAAATATTTTTTAGTAATAATTACCAGGATTTTTTTAATTTTTTTAAGTTCAAATTTTTATAAGAATATTTTATTATGTAGTAAGTTTTAATTAAATATATTTCTATGTGTTTTTTCTCATTCTCCATATGTATTTTATGGCAAACAAAGAAAATCAAGTCAGAGAGTATATGTTGCATTAATTTTATGTTTTTATGTTCACTATGTTTACTATGATACAATGGATTTTTTTTTTTTTCAGAAAATAAAATCATCTTAATTGACAATGCGTGTAACTTTTAACAAACAAACAATAGATCTTGATGAGGTATTTTGGATAACCCAAGATATGACGTTTTAAAGTGGCATCTTAGATTTTGATCGGGTTAAATTCATCATTTTGTCACGTGATTGATGGCCATAAAGTATGCCAGAGATCACAATGACTTATAAATGCATTACCGAGTTTTTACAATTAAAAAATATTTTTCATTAAATTTTCGTATATAAAAAAGATCATCGAGGTCGCGCGAATTAAAATTTTGATAATATTTACCTAATCGTTGCCATGTATTGTGAACACAGAGGGTATTCAATTTAAGAAATGATCGGCATTGGGTGCAACAAATATAATAATAACGATATAATACGATTTCCACCTTCTATTTTTATATATATATTAATATAATAATAATTTTGCCAAGACTTTTTCGCATTTGGTAAATTGTGCGTTCTCTCTGAAATAATTCGATTTTATTTATTTATTTAAATTGTTTTTTGTTGTAAAAGCTAGAAGGTACATTTATAAACGTTAATCATATAACACTTGCACTATTTCATAGTTATAAATAATGTAAAGGATTATTGGACCAAAAGAAGTTATGAGTAATGAATGATGTTGTTGAACGCATGAACAAATTTTAATTATAATTTATTTTACTATTTAATATTCATTCATTAGATAGTGAGTAAATGGTACGTTTATTGGTTTCAACGTATTATTTTATGGATGTGATATGCTTTTCTCCCTCTCGAATTAGCCATCTTGTGATATAGGATATTTATGCTGTCTCAAACCATAGACATGCTTTATTACATTGTAATATCAAGAGATTTTTTTTTTTTTGCCCGGATTATTTATTACCAATTACAAATAAAAAAAATTAAAAAAAAATATTGCAAAGAATCTATTTATTTTATTGTCTTGAAAGCAATACTAAAGTTTTTTTGGTAACATTGACATATTATAAATTATCCTTTATGGATAGACCAATCACAGATAAAACCTGTTATGTTTGTATTGTGAGCTTTAGAAATTCTTTAATAACAACTCGTATATAATGAAGATGACCAATTAAATTTTAGTTTTTTAGTGGTCATCAAACAAAAAAATTATTCATTAGAATCCGAGCTATTCTTATATAGGTAGTAAATAGGGTATTGATTTGCTAGCCAACTTATTAACAAAAGCCCAAATGCTCAATTTGCATGCTTATTTTTGATTAAAATTTACAAAGGTCAGATAGTCAAATCTCTCTAAATGTACATCTCCTCCCAACTTGGAAAGGGAAGACTATCATTATTATAATAAATTATTTTCTAATTAGTGAGTGATATTTAAATCATATTACAAAGTTTATTAAACCCACTAATGGAATTATGATAAGCAACGTCTTATAAAACATGAATTTCATCTTATATTATTAACCCAAAAAAAAGTGGTTTGTAAATTCAATAAAATCAAAACCGGTTAGAAACGAATACGAGTACAAATCGTGCTTTTGATACCAATATATATTATCTAATATATAAATAAATTGACTCGACGAATCATAAATTTGGATAGATATATTATCTAATACATACAAATATTTTTGTTTCAGAGTTTATACGAATTATGATTAACAATAAATTTTTAAAATTTTTGTCTCACATATAAAATTCATTAAAGTGCAATTTTCTTATATTTCCCATCTTGTAAAAATTACATACTAATACGAAATATACATACGGAAAAATGAACTTTCCCATGCTTGTAGTACCTAAACATACGAAAACGGCGTAAAGTAGATTTTTCCCGTATTAAAAATGTATTTAATACACAGAAGCCATGCTAATACTAATACTAATATGGAAAGTACAAATACAGAAATTGTTCAAAAAAAAATGAAGAAAAGTACATTTTCCGTATTAGTATTGGTATCAAAAACTGTATTTTTCCGTGAGTGTTCATTCTGCATCTATACAGTACCTACTTGTACATAAAGGGCATAGATTTGTTGAAATGAGAAGGGAATGTAATAACTTCTTGAAAAAGCAGAGATAATTAACATTCCAATAAAATAAAACTTTATGATAAATTTATAAACTTTTAAAAACAAAAAGTTGTCTTTATTTTCTTTCTTTGATAAAAGCAACAAGTGTAGTTAGTGCCTCGATAAAAGGCAACAATTATGGAGCTTTGGTAAAAGGTCACGTTTTATTTGCTTTAGTGAGCAAGCAAGGTTAGGATTAACATCGGTTAAATAATGAGTGTTAATGAAGTATCGTATCGTCCAAAGGTTAATCGGAAATACTTGTAATTTAAACATAAGTTAAACAAGTTACTTGAGTTTTTCGCAAATAAACAAAAGCGAGTTTGCAATCGGCCAATAAATGTAAACGATTGAAATAAATCGATCACATGTGAATAAAAAAAAAGAACCTTTATAGAAGCCCTTGAGCTATGTAAAAGAGCCATCTTTATTTATTTACAATTATCTGATACCATTAAATGTGCTTACAAATTTGTCTAGGTGCAAGCATTGAATTAATCGACAAAAAGTTAATTCATGATTATTAATTAACCAAGATGATACTTTGTAATATCACTATTTAACAAGAATCAAAAAACTGTAAAAATTTTATTATTTCAAAATAATTTAGCTTTAAAAAACAAAATAAAAAACAAAAAATATAAATAATTATGATAGATAAATTTACATTAGTTGTTCATCAATTCTTCCTTTTACTATTATTACTAGAATTTAATGTTTATTAATCAATTAAATTATTAGTAATAATTCCAATTAATTAATAATGAAATTTTATTCACCTTCGGCATTTAAGAGAAGAGAGCTAAAACCAAGACTATTTAATGAACTATCATCACTTAAGATTTTAGATTTAGCAATCTCTTCATCTAATATTCTACTCGTATGATGTGCATTCGGATGTGATCTGTGTACCTGTTGCGAATTACTACCACCACCACTGCTGCTGCTATCATGATTTTTAATTTTGGAAAATTTGAATAATCTTTTTATTAAACTATTATTACTATTATTATTATTACTATTATTACTATTATTACTATTATTACTATTATTATTACTACTACTGATACTACTTCCAACACTATTATTATCATTATTATTATCATAAATTTCTTTTAATATTTCATCAGCTAAATCATAAAGTTCTCTACTAGTTGGTCTTTTTGATGGATCCACATCCCAACACTTCTGCATCATTTGCACATAATCATCAGGCATTTCAGGTAAAATTGGTGGTCGTAAACCTTCATATATATCAAAAATTAAATGATAATTATGAGCTCTATCATCAAATGGTGGATGGCCTGCAAATATTTCCCACATTAACATCCCAACACTATAGATATCTGTTTCTTTTGTGTTCTTTACATTAATTTCACCTCTAAGTAGCTCAGGTGCAATGTAAGATACAATTCCATAGACTTTATTTGATGATTTTTCATCAACTGGTCCGCATAATCCCAAATCTGTAATATAACAACCACCTCCTTGCAATAATATATTACCACTATGTAAATCACAATGGATTAAATCTTTTTCATAAAATATTGTCATTCTGTCTTTTAATGTTAAATTATGATGATTTTTTTGTAAATAATCCCTTAAATTTCCCTCTAAATAATTTAAAACTATTGCATAATTTCCAATATCTGGGAATTTGGTTATACCATGGCATTGAACAATCAATGGTGCTTTAATTTTAGAATAATTCATTGCCTGTAATTAAATAAAATCAATTAGCATTATATAATACATTATTGTTTTAAATGACAACTACCAACCTCATCAAAAAAGGCCTTTCCTGGATTGCTTGAATTGTTTAAACTTTTTAATACTACTAGTTGCCCTCCAAAATAACTAAATTCCTTTTTATTTTCATCATAATCATTAATAACTCCTCTTGTCCATGTAGCAGTATAAACTGAACTAAATACACCTTCAGTCAACTTTGTTACTTTTATGAATTGCTCAAAAGGTATCCACTCTAAAATATGGTTTGGCAGAGATGATTTCATTTGACATTGTTGAATAAAGTTGTCAACTATGTTATTTTCAGATGTCCAAGTGGTGAAAAGACTCTGTAATTGTAAACTAATACAACCTTCACAGAACCTATCAGAGTATATTGTCAATTTACACTTATTACACTCTTTTGGTTTTCCCCCTTTCTCTCTTTCATTACCTAATTCAAAATAATAAATAAAATTTTCCTTACAATATTCTTTTTCATTTTCAGAAAGCTCATTGTTTTTCTTGACCAACAAAAAAAAATAATCTTTTCTACTTTCTTCATCAGAGTTAGCCAGAGCATTATTATACATTTCATTATCAATTTTATATACAAATTCTTTTCTTTCTTGTGATAACGATGATAATAATTTATTATGTGACATTGTGTAAAAATATAAAATATAAAATTCAACTTGGTGTTTTAATGAATGTGGGGGTTTTTTGAAAATAACGGTTACACTATTTTTCCCTTAACACATATATAAACCAGTAAAAAGAGAACCAATAGATTATATATAAGCAAAGAAAAATGGAACCTTAAATTAGCATAAAAGAATTTTAAATATAATTAATTGCATATCTTTAATAAAACAAACATGACTTAGCTATTTAATCATTTCCTTCATTTCCTTGTATGTGAATGCCTCCATCCATCAAATATTCATGATGGTCATGATTATTATGTGATACATTTGATATCATCATTGACATAACAAACAATTGCATCACCCAAGTAGTAATGATACCAAGGCCATACATAAATGAAACTTTTAATAATATGTGTCTACCCAGATCTCTGGGATTCACAAAAAAAATTGCTTATGAATAATAAATCTGATGATTGCAGGTGTCAGATTTAACTAAATTTCCTATCACCACCATGTATAATTGCTAATCTTTTCGATAAAAAAAATTAAGCTTATACATTAGAAGGCTTTGGACAAAACACATTTCCCTATCTTTCTCTCAGACCAGGCTGGCTGTTACCATATGGGCATGATTGCTGATGATAGTTGACATTTGTGTGATGGTTGCATTGTATTATACCTCTCTAGAATAAAGTTGGTATCTGCAATTCAGGATGTTGCAACCTGGGTTGTTGTTTTGGATTTTCCCTGAAGCCCCTATTTAATTAAATAACATCAAGTTTAGTTGGTCAAACAAAATTAGAGAAACAGAAAATTTATGAAAATGTTTAATTTATAACATAACATACCAAACAAAATCCAAATCATTTTATGACTTTTTTCTTGTTGGTCATATTGCTGACAAAGGTGTATATAATTGTGCAATAATTTTAATCTATGGGACAGAGGACTGATTGGGCAAAAACCCATCCAGTCCCCTACCCAAAATTATAAATTGGTTAGTATCAGAGAAACAGAGCATTCAGAAAAATGATTATACAAAACAAACACTATTTACAACTTTCCTCTTAACATCAGAGTCCAGCAGCCTTCTCTGGTCTGGTGTTGTGAGGAAAAATTAGTGAAAGTGTCATTGACAATTGATACAGTCTTGGTAAACTCCAGGGCCAAGCACTCCCCCCCTGGAATTATGTTGCATCATTGTATGATCATGAGAATCTCGGTCAAATTAGCCTTATGAACATGACAAGGAAGATGAGAATGACTGTGTAAAGTCTTTAAGGTAGCGTGCTTTAACGACTGTCAACAGTGTATTATTGCCTTGACGTCTTCTTGTAAATACATATTAATAATATTATTATGCGAAGTAAATTCCCAATCATTCATTCCCAGCAAGATCCTTCTCCGCGTTCTGATTCCAATTAAAATATTTATAAAAATATCAATACAAATAAAAAAAAGTACCTCTGGTTAGTTATTAACACGTTTTCTTTAGGATACCCAAGCCAAACCAAGTAACAACACTCACATTTTGTCATCTTGGATTCTGTCAAAAAAAATAAATTGTTTTTACAAAAAAAAAAAAAAAAAAACAATTTGCGTCTGTCCTCCCAAAAAAAAAACCAATAGCATACTGATTTTACTATGTGATCGACATAGCACGTTTTCCGTACAACAGACTTTGAAGGAAGAATTGAATACAAGATTA